AGACCGTGGAGGGGCTCGAACCCACAACTGACGAATGTAAGTCACGAGAGTTACCACTCGGCCACAGCGGCCACACATAAAAGATATATTTATGATATATGTAATTCCAAAAACAAAATAATTATATAAACTAATTTGATAGATTAACCAGGACTTTCCTGATTTAAATAAAAGGCCTGATTTCCAAAACATCGTGTGGGGTATTGATGATAGGAGTCATTTTTTTCATATCTATCTGTCAATCTATCTATCTATCTAGAAATATCTTTGCCGATGACGATTATTTTTATTTTTGCATAATAGTAGTATATATATATATATATATATATATATATATATATATATATATATATATATATATATATATATATATATATATATATATATATATATATATATATATATATAATGCATATATTCCCCATAGTAGAATTTTGATACAGATATATTTACCTTACAGAAAATGAGTCTAGCGGAATTAAATAACAGCGAATGGAGATGCGGATTTCTGTTTATGACAATCCTCCTGCAATTTTTACTGGTCATTTATTTATCTTCTCAGTCGACCGGGAACATATGCGACTCTTGTCCAAAGCCTGCTGCTCCTGAACCGAGGTGGCACTTAAGGTCCCACCCATTTCTAAGTCAGCAGTGCTTCGTATATAGTAATCTCACTGCCAGATTCAATTGTCCTGAACATGGTTCTTATCAGCATTACACTAGCGATCGGATTCTCTCTTGTGCCACTGAGTTCTGGAAAAGGATCAGGTGAGTATGGACAATATTCACTTTATGAACCTGATGCAAAAAGGTCTAAGGCCAAATAACTAGCGTAATTTCTGGAGTAGTTTTCTTTTCTTTGAAATGAGTTTGACAGCGGAACGGGCAAAGAATATTGCCCACATTGGGCCCAGGCACCATGAATACATTTGAAAAAGTAGCATCTTAAAGAGAAGGCAGAAATAGGAGAATGATAAGCAATAAAAACGACATGTTGAAAGTGTAGTCACAGTAGTGAAGATCTAGTAATATGATAGGATCAGGCCCTGGGATGATGATAGATCAGTTTTTTTTTTTTAAAGAAGAAACGTCATAAGAGTTAGGGAAAACAAAAGCAGAAAGAGAGTGTCAAAGTCCGGCAGTGGAAGAAAATTAGCAGTCACTAACGTGACCAATCTACTAGATACAAGTCTCCACGCGATATCTGTGTGACACAGTCGCTTGGCATGTGCTACGTTCTTGGCTGAAGGGGAGGGATGCAACTCGCCAAGTCATCAGAAGAGCGATGGAAGTAGTACTTATATAAAAGAAAAAAAAAGACTATACCTCCAGGCTAAGAAAAAGGGAGCTGATTTTACAATTAAGAGCAGGATCATTGATGATTGTGTTGATCTTAAAATCAACCCTATCAAGAAGACAAGTGCAAGAAGAAGCACCCCAGATGTGAAAGCAGTATTCTAAGCATGGGCAGATATAACCTTTACAGATTTTCAGGGATGGAGATGAAGAAAATTAATGACAATAACAAAAGAGAACCCATTTTTTTAGATGCAGCTTTAGCAATTTGAATTATGTGATTCCCCCCAAGACAAGTTACAAGGCTATCTCTACTCCTAATATGTTAATAGAACTGGGAGGACAAATTTCGTTGTCTTCCAAAAAATTGGCTATTAGAATGAGATTAAGATAGAGAAACAGTCAGAAACTGAGTCTAGGAGGTAGTAAATTTTACTAGAATTTGGGAACCCCACTCAGATAATCTCTGTAAATAGGATTTAAGAGTCAAAGAAAGAGTTTTGCGAGATTGATTTTGATCGACAGATGAAAGTGGTGAGGTGAAGGCAGGGGGACATATGAATGAAAGAATAGTTGGCACAGGAGTGGAGAAGAGGAAGGGTACTGGAGACGATCACTGATGAGGATAAGGTACAGGCTACGTGAACGAACAGATCCTTGTGGGGGAGAAGACTGCATGGACTCATGACAAGAGGAGGGATATTCGAAGAGGGACAGAATGTCTGTTTAATTAGATCAGTAGCTGAAGTAAATATGTAATGCAGTAGTATAAATGATAGGTCTGCAGCCGAAGATCATCGAAATGCATAGGTATGAGATGTATTATGCAGTAATCATATTCTCTCACGTGGATCTGTGTTATGGATTTATGTATCAACTTTTTATCTGCAATTATTTTTCATAATAACAACTAAAATACATATATACTATTTGCTAAAATGATGTTCCCTTGGTACAGAGACCCAGCAGAGATCGATCCCTGGGAAGATCCACAACAAAATAATAGTGACTATGTATCAGTGTCCAAGCGACCCTTCGTGAATTGGTTAATAATAGGTGACTCTCACTATAGATACATTTTTGATGTATTAGTGAAAAGGATCGCAGGACCAAGCCTTAAATACAGAATTGCGAGTTTCAAAGAGGTAAGATAACAGCAACTACAACAACAACAACAACAACAACAATAATAATAATAATAATAATAATAATAATAATAATAATAATAATAATAATAATAATAATAATAATAATAATAATAATAATAATAATAATAATCTATATTTAATGACCCAATCCCCTTGTAAGGGCGTGACAAAGCCAAAGAACAGCTTCACCGTAAACCAAGACACATATTCAGTACACAAGTATTCAGTATCTCTTAAACTTTTCCTTGTGTTTTTGAGTGACTAAGAATATAGTGCGTATATCAAACATAATTTCCCTAAATAAGAAATCCTGCAGAGTATTGTGAGTAAAAAACTTATATTTGTTGTATGACGAGACTGTCCAAAATATTAAAGGAAAAAATTGAGAACATTTTCGTGAGGGGAACGGGAAGAAGCTGCCCTGTTCTGCCTTGAAGGAAACTCAGAAGAGTTGCCAGAGGTGCAGCCATCACATCACATTACCTAACTTATTGTGTAAATTGGGGAGAGCTATTAAGCAGTTCACCTGATCCTGTGGTTCCATATATTGTTAAAATCAGTATCCTTCCCATTTATATTAATTTGATAGCTAGTTTTGATACACGAAATACTTGAATAAATACATAAATACCAAAAATACACCTGTCAACAGTACTGAGTTAAGTTGCCAAGTAGTACAGCTGTCTTATTTTCTTCATTATTTTTCCTTTCTTTTAGCTTTCTCTTTTACAATTTTTTCTTTATTTTGTATATATATTGAGTTAAATGTAAAGTCTGATCCTGTGATAACATATCTTGGGTAGCAAGTGAGTTTATCAGTTAAGAAGAATATATAGCAGAAACAGGTGGGTGCCTCTTCAGACACAAATTCGAATTTTTCTTCAGGTTTGACTTTGTTTTTGTTGCATTTTTTTCCTTTTCTTTTTATCCTCAAATTACCATAGTCAAATTTTTAAGTTAAGATGTGTGTTACCAGAAAAGAGATAAATTGAGTCACTAAATAGCACTTATATGGAGATATAAAAATTCTGTGTGAAGCTTAAATAAGAGTTTTTCTCTCTTTTTTTTCTCTTTCTCTTCTTTCTATATTCTGTGAGAGGGAGAACATAAAAACAAACAGCTATCTGACAACCAAAATGAATTAGATGTTAGTTCACTGCTCTCTTCTGAGAGAGACAAGATTGCAGCTTGGAATGTCCAGATTAAGGAAAACAATGAACAGTTTAGAAAAGAGTTCCAGGAGCTGAATATAGAAAATGATGCCATGAAAACTTCCTTTGCTGATGCACTAAAGGGGAATGTGGCAGTAAAAGAGGCTGTAAAGGTGGTGGCACTGGAAAACATACAATCAGTTGACTATAAAGAGACAGTAATCGAAAAAATGAAAGACGTTGTGATGGAAAGGGCAAACCCACTCATCAAACAGGCACTTGATAAAGAGAAGACAGTGGTAATCTCAGGCATAAGCGAATCCCAGGAGCCAACATGGCAGGGGAGTCTTGAAGAAATAAAACTAGGGTTGTAGACCTGATAAGAAAGCTTGGAGTAGTTTGTGGTCCTGAGGATATTGTAAACATACACCAACTAGGTAAATATTCGAGGGAAGGAAAGTCGAGACCAACAAAAGTAACCTTTGAGAGAGGGGAAACATGTAGGGAAATATTGTTGAGAAAAAAAAGTCTAAAATACCTTCAAGAATTCAAAGAAGTGTTCATTAGATGATACAGAACACAGGAAGAGATGGGAAAGATAAAAAACTTGTTGCAAGAGGCAAGAAGGTTAAATGAGGAAAGGAATGGAAAAGAGAAGAAAAATTTTCATTTCAGAGTTCTTCCAGACAAAGGGGAGATAAAGAAGATAATGACAGAAGATCAGGGGATGGTGCCTCATTAAGATTGTTATACACAAATGCTGATGGATTAGCTGGTAAGGCAGTAGAATTAAAAGATAGGATTCACAATAGTAAGGCAGATATAGTAGCAATTAGAGAGACTAAGTTGAGTGAGGACATAAACAGTGTCACAGTTTTTCCTAAGGGCTTCAGAATATTAAGGGTTGAAAGATCTGAGAGGACTGGTGGAGGGATAGCACTGCTCATAAGTGAAAGGATTCAAGTTGAAGAAATAAACTTGGCTATAGAAAGTGAGTTCAAGGAATTTCTTGTTGCTCGCATAAATACTGGGCTCAGAGAGCATAATAATAACTGTTGTATATAACCCATCAAGGAACCAGAATAGGCTAGAAGTTTATGAGGAAAGTCATATAGGTACTATTGAAGTCATAAACTCAGTTGTTAACATGGCACGGGAGAGAAAATGTAGGATTTTGATTATGGAATATTTTAATTATAAAGAGATAGATTGAATAAATCTTGACCCACACAGTGGTGAGGACTCATTCGGGGGCAAGAGTCCTAGATTGTGTACAAGGAAATTTCCTACACCAACATGTAACGGAACCAACGAGGGCCGGGGGCGGGGATGAGCCATCACTACTTGATCTAGTATTCACATATAATGTGTTGGATATTGAAAAAATTAAATATGAACCACCAATTGGAAAGAGTAACCACTGTGTGTTGTTGATGGAGTATGTCATTGAAGATATTCTGCCTGACAGTAGAGGCAC